TTGAACATTGACATCAGCAAATACGAACATTTGCTCTGCTTTGTAAAGGAAGCCATTTGTTCAACAGCTTAACTGAGTAACTGTTAAAGCCCTATATTGTACAACAGTGTAATATTGTTAATACTATGATAGCATACAGATGTCACAATGTTGAAACAGAAAAAATGAAAGACAGAAGTAATGAGATCTCCAGGACTTGAGCAAGATGAACAATATATGACTGTTGAAGTAAAAAATAGAAGCGTCTGTAATAACGTATGTATCTGAAAGAAATAAGGTAAAGTTATTAATAAATTAAAGTGCTAAGGCAGTACTTCCGGTCCTGTTCTTAGCGATTTCCAACTGGCAAAAACTCTGGAAGCGTGGGTGCTCTGGAACATAGGACCTTGATTTGAAATCCTGACTTTCTGTGCACATGCTGTAAATTGCTAGTGAGCTCATTTAAATTACTAAAAAAAAAAAAAAAATCCCGAACGATTCAAGCAAAAAGGACTTTCCCTTCTACTTTTGGCGTACAATTCACAAAAAAAAAAAAATCATTTGAATGTAATTTAATTCAATTCTAAAGCATAATGCGGAAGCCTGAAAGAGTACAATTTCCTTGAATTTTCAATGTATGATGTTACTTTCTACTTTTTAAAAATAGTTCAAAGAACTCATTTTCTAATTTTTCCCCCTTAAATATGAAACTAATTCTTCAGCTCAAAGAAATATTTAGATCAGCCCTTTACTGCTGAGGAAGTAGAAGGTAAGATCCAAAGCAAGCAATTCAGATTTTGGAAGCATTTTATGAACTACATTCTGATCCACTTATGTAGTCTAGCTGAATTTTTTAAGCTTTGCCTTTTAGATAAACAAAATGAGAGCAGAAGAATTTATCTATGTTTAACATTTATGAGAACAAAATAATAAAATAAAAAATATGATGCAGTAATGCAAATGCTCACCATTTAACACAGAATTCTGAATTCCAGAGAGCTGTAGCTTTAGTCACACAACTGATAAACTGCATCATTTTATAATTTACCATTTCCCAAGAAAAGTCAAGAGCATTTGTTTTCCATTTTGTTTTAAATTTAATGAATGGTAATGTGACATTGTAGTAATTATGAGGAAAGCCTATTTGATAGAGCTTTTCCTTCCATTAAATGAAAAAATAAAATTAAAATAAATCCCTGAAGACACTTATTTGATTTATCTGAGTAAAAAACAAGAATGAAAATCAGCTTATTCCTATGCTACCTGCAAATATTTAGCAATTCCAGCTGCATTGAGTAGCCCACCAATTTAATTTGGAATGCTCTGAATTAAAAAATTGGAATGAAACTCATTGCTGCAAGAAATTTTCAGCATTTCTTGATTCAGTTAGTCAAGAAACATACAAAATATAATTTTCACATATTGTTAACACTTTTTTCCTGGGCAATCACTAACATTTAATTCCTGCAACATATGTAGAGAACAAAAAAACCTATGCAATACCATAAACATTATGTTAGACTAAAAAAATATTAGATGTACACAACTGGTCTTGGTGTCATTTTGGCATCTGTCTTCTACTGAAAAGTGTCTGAGATAAAGTGTTGTGTGGGACAAAAAAATAAATATGTACTCAATGCATGGAGTTTTTCACTGACACGTTTTTTACCTTTGACTATCTGTGCTCAATATCAAAGAATAAAAAACACCAAACCAGGATCAGAAGGATCAGAATACTTTCAGCAGATTAATTTTGGTGTGACCTCTGTTAAAATATGTATGATGAATCAGAAAAAGAAGAATTAAAACACATCCATTTTTAATAAGACTATCCTTTGTAACATTTCTCCTTACTAGTCAATTATTTGCAATAAAATTAACCACAGTTAGACTTCGGGCAAAGTCTAAGAATTTGGAAAAGAACTACATAAACTTGAATTATTTATATAGATATACATATATATATACACATGATGAGATACAGTTTATTTAAGTTTAAACAGAAGATATCCTAGCTAAGCAAAAATGTCTAAGTAGGATTTGAAATCCATAATGACCTTAATTAGACTTTCCTCTTTGCCATTTAAAAAAAATCATCAATAATAGAAACAGTAATAATAAAAGAATCCCCTACAATACTAGTCCCTTAGGAATGGTTCTTGGGTGGCCACTTGAAATAAAGCAAAACAGAGTATGTTGCATTATCACCTATACCATGCTTCTTTTCTCCTTCTGCCTATCATAACAAACTGATCTGTATGGCTCCTGATAAATAATATTATTTAGGTTTCATTATAGATCCAAAACCAGATGCGAATCCCAACATAGATGTTTTCCAGTAATAGTCAATCATGATTTTATCAGCCATCATCCAGGTCCATATTTCTGTTTGGACTACTCACTAGTATATTTATTCTTTAATGTGTACAAACTCTCCAGATAATGAATAGCTCCAAACTCAGATGGCCAGTCCTAATAAACAGAACTGTCATGAAGTTTGGCTGTTATGTGTTGATAGACCCTAACTGGAGACAGAACACTTAGATGCTATCTGCTGATTGTCATAAATGCTCAGAACATTTACAGACCTCAAGCTCAGACATGTAAATCAGCATGGTCACAAATGTTATTGCCATATGAAAGCAAGCTCAAAAAATATAAATGCTCAAAACCACAAAAATATACTTTCATTGAAGTGGTGGCTTTTTATCCTATCATTTCATTATATTTTCATTTGGGTGTTTGAGCCACATCAGTTGTTTATCTGCAAGCACTCTGTTTGCATGAGCACAGACAAATGCAAAACTCATAAACCCTAACATCTGATATTTTCCCTCCCTTGAATTGCTCTAGAAAAGATTGTCTTCACTTCCAACATTCCATTCAACTGCAGCCCAAAGTACTAACAAGCCAGTCTGACTCTGGTATGTGACAGATATTCTCTAGCCTTCTCTTTGCCCCTCTGTTTGAAAAAAACTCTGTACAACCAATTCCTTTTTTTCTTTCACTTTAAATCATATTAAGAAAATGATCCCTGAAATATGCCATTATATTACTGATGAGGTTAATTGTTTGAGGCCCTTCTTGTTTAGTATTTATCCTCAGGAAAATTATTATATCCCAGTCAGCAGTACTTAAGTGCTGTTCTGTGTTTTAATTCCACAGTATTTGATCAAAGAAAGAACTTATTTCCTAAATAATGAATACATGTGCTACATGAGCCTGAATAAATATAAATAAATCATAAATTCAGAAACCTTAAAATTTGCATTGACCTAATGTAGCAGAGGTCCTTGAAAGTTATTTCTCATTATGTGACTTAATGTAGGTAGAAACTCATTAAAGTCTCCACCCTGCTTCTTTCTGGAGTAATGGGATGCAAAATTCCTTGTTATGATCTCAGAAAAAATCTTTTCTGATAGTGTAATGCATGATATATTGTGCTACATAGATAAAAAGGAAAAACATACAACTAATACACATTTTAGTCACATTTCTGAAACCAGGCCTCCCAGATGTATGCTATAGTGCAATTGTATGCAGATGGTACATTCTTAGTTTTCTTATGCACAATCATAATGAAAAATTTAATCAACCATTAATCCATTACTATTTATAACCCATTCCTATTTATAAAACTGTCATTTCCACGGCGAAAAGGTAAAAATCGTAGAAAATAAGATTTGTGACTGTGGACTTAGAAAATCCAAACTATTTCCAAAACCCCAGTTTCTCTATACAAAGTAAGCAGCAAATAAGACCACAGTGGAAAATTCATGTCACAGATTTTTACAATAATGTTATGAAAACACTTATTTAAACCAATGTATTATTTCAGTATGTCTGAATAAAATCACTGAGAGTCAGTCATCTTCTGAAGAGCAAAAAGAAGGGTTTCTTTTTACCTTTCTGCCAGGGTAAAAAGAAACCAACCGATAAGGGCATTTAATTCTGCATATAATGAAAAAGAAAGGTACTTTTCTTTTTATGGCTAGTCTTGCTCACATCTAGTGCAATGTTATTTGTGCATTTGACTCCCATGGGTTTGGGCACATGATAAATATATATTAACTCAGTAGGAGCTGCAGGGACATTTCTGGTTAGGAGAATATACTGATAACTGCTGATGTAAATGATTAATAATGACAAAAATCGACATGAGAAATTCAAGGTTCAAGGTAGCAGCTTGTCCTCATGTCTCCAGACTCTCCTGTGTGTCGGGGGAAATTGTTAGCACTGGTCTTCTGGACCAGTCCCTTGATAAATTAAAGACTAAATATTCCCTCAGCTTCAGTTTGGTTACTGTTAAGGTACTAATCAAACAAAATTAGGCAGTTACTGCTTTCTTTATAAAAATGCGGTACAGCAATTGAATAGGTCCATAGTACAGAATCAATTTTTCAAGCCTGGAAATTGAATTCAGTTATTGTGAACATTTAGAACTAAGTAAATACATTATATATAGAATGTTCTTATATGCTGTACTGATCTGTTACCAAAAGCTGCAGAATATTACAATATTTATATGAATTAATACTGTATTTCAACAGCATGTTCAGTAAAAAAAAAAAGATATTTGGCTTTAAAGACATTTATTAACTGTGGAATAGAAATGTGAGATTTATTTTGGTTTATGTCAAACTAACACTGCAGCAGGATACTTCTCAGGACAAGAATATTTTTTGAACTCTACTTGGATTGCATATTCAGTTTTGAGAGAGACTGTTTTATATTCTGCCCTATTATACAACACTTCTTTTTGCCTGGCATTTGACAGGCATTCCCATCCTTTGCGTTTACTTCACTTCACTTCCTCAATGCTGAGGCTGCAAAAACATAGCCAGCAGCCTCACAGAGCTTTTCATGGAAATCTGCCATTCTAAACTGGCACCTAACTCCACTTTATTATTCACTCAAGGAAGTTTAAAACTCTGAAATGAATTTAAATATTTACGCCAATAAAGAAACTGATGAAAAGGATAATAATAAAAGAAGAAAATGAAAACAATGTAAGACATTACTGAAGTAGCTCTTCTTGGGAAAGCTCTGATGTTCTTTGCTTGCCAGTCACCAGAACCAACTCATCCTTCAAATCCTGGATCTCCTTTTTCAGCTGGACAATCATCTACAAACAGCAAGGCATACAATTTAATAGCTAGTTTATGATTTTTGCAGTAGAAGGCTGAGTTTAGGTAACTATTATATTTTAGTTTTCTCTTTTCTTTTTTTTAACAAGGTTTCTTTTCTAAAAACTGTCAAAATGCCTTAAATACACCAAACACCTCTTTTCCCCTCTTTTTCCATTTATAAACCCAAGAAAAGTCTTCCAAATTAAGTGAATTCTTGTGTTAGAAACTTGGCTGTACAGAAAAAGTTCGAAAGATTTTTGCAAAAGAGAAATATAATTTGACATAGGAATAAAAAGATAATTCTGACTCATTCGTTTTGCCTTTTAATGATGAAAACACATTTAAGAACTAATATCTTTGTTAGAGAAAGGGCAACTACATAACAAAAGTGATTTTTTTTTTGCTTTCCCTTTTAGAAACAGAAGTTTCAAAACACTATCTTAATTTTAATCTTAACTTTTTTTCCTTTTCTTGTGACATTTCACTATTATTAGAATTATACTGTGCTTGTAGGATGCATCAGCTAGCTAGGTTGTTAGCAGCAAACTGATGGCATAAAGTAATCTACTGAAATTAAATTATATTAATGAATGGTAATGCGAGAATATTACGTGGAAAACTGAACTAGATTTTTAAACTCCAGGAACTGTTGGAATCTGCTTCGGGAAAAAATGTCTGTATAAAACTAAATTTTACTTATCATTAAACTCTCAAAGCCACGTTTTATAAAAGCAGTGGTCAATGTGCATTTACCTAAGTCTAAGACATGAATGAGCACATTCTCGGGTACTTTGTGGTTGATCATTTATTGAAGCCTCCCTTTATATGGCATAAATGTATGAGTAGGCCAGTGATATTTTTAGGTAGATAGGCATACACTGATTCCATGTGCAAAATAAGTTTCCAAGAGAAGAATGTTTTCAAGGAAAAATTAATCACTCTCGATTGCATGTGCTTTCCAGAAATGAGATTGTTGAAATCAATGACACATATTTTCACTGAATGTTAAAACTCCTTCAAACGTTTCTATTTCTTTTAATGGTTAAGTTTAATCATAACTTCCTAAATTTTTGCTTTAAAAATCAAATTATTTTAAACATGTATAAGATTATTTCTTTTAACTCTAAACCTATAGTTAACTATCTTTTACAATGAAGTATGAAAGTCTAACTTAATATTTTATATAATCATCTACTAAAGTGCCAACTGTTAATTAGAGATGTTGCAAGAACATTCAGAGAATACTGCAGGCCAAATATTTTACCCCAACTTTATATTTTCTCATTTTGGTGCTGCACTCTGACATAGTTTGTGCCAGCTACTGAGTCAAGAAAATTAAATTTCGGGCTGGAATGGAAAATGATAGACAGCTGAATCACAGTAATATGTCTGTTCAATATTTAAATTTGTTAGGACGATTAACTTCAATCTGATAACAACAGAAATACCAATTTCAGGATATGGATAGAGGATTCATCTTCAAGTATTATTAATACCAACAAAAATCTTCAGAAGCAAAATAACTTCATTTCTATTTTTACATGAACTCCAGAAGAGATGAGGTCTAATTCAAGACCTTGATTTTCAGTTTAAATTATGTCCTTTAGCCATGAGTGAGAGAGGTTCAAAGATGAGCACTTAAAAGTACAACAGGTACAAATTCATCTTTTCTGTAAGATAAAACATCAGGAATTCTCCATTATTAAGAATAAAGTTTACACAACAATCTGACTTAACTCAGATCCACCAAGAGATATTGTGAACTCCCTTTATAAAGCATGCATTCAACTCACGGATGATAGATACTGCCAACAAAAAAGGTTTCTATTTTTCATAAAATTATTTTATTACAATAAAATTTGATTTTTATTAAAAGAATTTTAAATCCAGCTCTTTGAATAATAGGCCGGCATCCTGGGAATATACTCAAGATGGGCAACAAATTCCATAATGAGCACAGGGCCATATAAAATCAAGGTACTTGTGTTCCCCTGACTTTTCCACAAGAGGGGATGGTTTTCTAACTCTCACGAGTCCACTTTTGCTTTGCTTGCTAAATGATCCTGCAGAGCGAGACATACCAAACTCGTGGAGTATAGCTCCACAGGATGTAGTAAATGTTCAGGAGCCTGCATGTGCTTTACCTCAATCAAAGCTTTCTGTGGCCATGGAAGAAATGTTTTGCATGATTTGCTACCAGAAAGTTATGTAGAAAGAAAAAAAGAACAGAGAGATAGAAATGAAGAAGTTGTTCAAGGCCTACTGGGTTTACTTTTTGGCCTTTTTTATTCATTTTTTTTAATCTGTGATGCTATTACCATTAGAAATTGCTTAAGAAAAAAAAAATCATAAAAAAGAAAACCAGCTAAAAACCTGACAAGGATCTTCTATTCCCTTTGAACTTCAAGAACAAGAGACAAGAAGAAATAAAAGCAGATTATTAACAGTAAATGAAGTATTCTAATTATGATGTAACAATGAATGAAATAATTCGCTATATAATTAGTTATTTCTGTCTCCTTTTCTTGTTTTCCTCTTTTTTCCTAATGGCAACTTCACAGAGTTCTTTCTTCCTATCAAAAATGGTCCTCAACTCAATTTCAGGGAATGACTCAGTATCAGTATGTTTATTAGCTTTTTAATACACAAATTTTTTCAGTGCAGCTGTGGGCCTTCATCAAGTGACTAGCAATCTTAGTACATTTTTAGAGAGTTCTAGAACCATCTAATGATCTGTGACTATGATTTAGGAATTATCACTCCAAAAAAACCCCACAAATATGATAATGAAAGGGACAATTTCTCCTCAGATGCTTTAAGAGTTGAGAAAGGCTTTAGAGATTTGATAAAGATCCACTAAATTATAATTGTGTCCAAAAGAAAAAGTTAAAGTGACAGTTATTTTATAGAAAAAAATTTGGAGCTTGCATCTGAAAACAATTTAATTGGACATTTCAGTACAAAATCCCCAACATTCCCCTAGTCTCCAGACAATGCTCTCACCAATCTGGGGTCAATTTCTTCATTAAGAACTGCTTCGTTCTTAATAAGAGCAACTCGCTGTGCAAATCTGCAGGTTGATATAGATTCCTGGAAGGAAAAAAAGAAAAAGAAATAAGAAAAGATAAGAGAATTCCAATTACCTTTGCACCAGGTAAGCAGCCAGACTGCTAATGAAGCCATTAAATAATGTTTCAATTTCTTGAGTATGTTACAGATATATTCTATCATTTTATATTCCAAAATAACAATATTCAAGGAAAATCAGGTTAGCATATTAATGACAGGGGCATATAAAACTATTAAATCATAGGGCATATTTTATTGATACAGTTTATCCCCTGACCAACTGTGTTTCAGGTAAGTCCCCAGCTGGAACCATAGCATAACAAAGCCATGCTACTCAGAAGGCAATAACCTTTGAATGATGAGAAAAAGAGAAAACTAATAAAAGTTAGGATTTTGTTGTTATTTTGGTTTTTTGGCGTGGGTTTTTTTGTTGTTGTTTTTTGGGTTTTTTTGGTTGCTGTTGATTGGGTTTTTTGGAGAAAATGCGACTAGGTAATTTTATATAAAAGAAGCTGGGAAAAGAGATGAAGGGAAGAATAGTGGAAATACAGGACAACTGAGAAAAAAGTTAGGAGACTTGGAACTGAGAGGCATACAGGGGAACTGTGATACCAGATAAAAATGTCAGATGAGCTAATACGGGGATTTGCAAGAATGGAAGGCAGAAAAAAAGAAAGTTGCAAGACTGAATTGGTTGGGGAAACTCTGTGACAGCCATTGTGTACTCTACTTCTGTGCACAGAAAGAAATCAAAGATCCTGATACACATTGTTCTCACATTCCAGATCAGCTGATATCTAAATGCCAGACCCTACTGTAAGACTTAGATATTTAGTAAATCAAAACCCAGCAATTATCTCCAGTTAGGTCAAATAATAAAACACAGAATATTAGGCAGAAGGAATTTAAATGATGCTTGAGAAACTGTATGGTTAACCCTTATGGGATTTGACAGACTGCATTTAAAAGAGAATTTGTATATAGTCCCTAAATTCATTAATGTAAGAGAACTGATTTTCAGAATGGAAGCAATTCTGCAGTTTTCAGTCCTCCAATATAAGAAAATACCAGTTTAAATATTATGTTCAGACACCTTTTCCCACACAACTTCTGTATCTTTAAGTGCTTGGAGGTTTCAGTTTGGAACCCTGAATAAGGGGTACATGAAAAAAGACGTTTCTCACTAAAGACACAATACATACACAGAGAAACGAAGGAAAGGAAGACTTTACAATTGAGTTGCATACAGTACTAGTTGGGCTCTATGTCTGTTTCTGATGTCCCTTTGCAATGATGATCGGCCAATGTGATTTTAATTAAGTTCTATACATACAGTAAGTATAGTTATATGTACAGTACACACTCATGCATTTCCACTAGATCTCTTTGCCCTGTTTAGTGTGCAGCACATGTTAAATTAATGAGTAGGTAATCAATTCAGTTCTCAATGTTCAATTTGCTAGATTACAATTTGTTTATTCTATGCCATCAAAATGGTAATCAAGTCAGATATCTAATTTCCATTTTTATACCATGCTTATCATCACAGCACCTCAGGGCTTTACAAGAATCAATCACGTAACCTTCTTTGCTGCGAGTGTGTGGAATGATTACACTTAACAGAATGGAAACTGAAGTCAAAAGTACCAAAAAGGTATATTCAGTTGTTATCATTCTATGGTCTGCTGTTCAAAACAGCTTCCATTCCGCTTCAGTTACAGCTATATTGAATAATATATCTACAATTCAGAATCAACATCTTCATCCAAGCACTCCAAAAAACTAGCACAAAAAATGTGAAGCAGTGACTGAAGAAACTCTGTACAAACTCATTGGTAGAAGTAGGAATATAATCTAGTTCTCTAGGATAATAATCTATTCGTCCTCTTCATATGAGTGCCCTTTCTTACTCTGAGTTCTCTGCTTCATTGTTTTCATTACAAGAAACAACACTAAGTCCTTAACTACGTGGCTTTTATTATGCAACTTCATACTGGGGGTAGTTCTGTCTTGTGCATCATTCGTGAGTGATATGTACACTGTGGAAAAAATCAACCAACATGCAACCTTAACATAGCTATGGATAATGACTCATGCACCTATCCTAATTCTGACATTTTCTGATGATTAGCAATTTACTTATCTTTTTATATTATTCTGACATATTAGATCCTCATCTACCTAAATTACTTGGACAGTTCAGATTTTGGGAAGCAAGGAAGGGATTTTTTTTAATTTAATTTTTTTTTTTGGGAGGACTGAAGAATAAGATCTGTTGTGTAAATAGTACATGTTAAAGTAAAACCATGAAAATTGTCATAGCTTATTCTGGATAATTGCTTGATCTAAATATTTCCAAAACAGAAATCTAGAACACAATATGAGATACACACACCTCATGGACTGACCTATGAAAGGCTTCTGATCTCACAGAGCTGAAAATAAAATTAATAAACTTACCAGCTGCATTTGTAACCAGATAATATGTTTGCATAATTATGTTTTCAAGTCTGAACAATATGTTTTCATTTAACAGCAAAGTCCACTTTTCTAAAGAAAAAGTCTATAACTAGATAAAGTATGGTTTGAGTATAATGCTTTCCACTGTATTTCAGAAAACAGTCTTAGACTAAATAGTTTTTCTTTTCTTGTTTATTCATATTAGAATGTTTTTATGTTAGGAAAATCAGGAAATAAACAGATTATAAACAGCTTTGAGCAGTGTTCTATGTATTCACATTGCTACATGTTTTAGAATAAAACAGACCAGACTATTTCAGTAGGAAGAGACCTACAATGATCAGCTTGTACAACTGCCTGACCAAGTATAAGCATGTTGTTAAGGGCATTGTCCAAACACCTCTTAAATACTAAAAGGCTTGGGGCATCAACCACCTCACCAGCCTGGTCCAGTGTTTGACCATCCCTTCAAAGAAATGTTTCCTAATGTCCAGCCTGAACCTTTCCTGGCATATCTTCGAACCATTCCCACACATTCTATCACTGGATACCAGGGAGAAGAGCTCAACACCTCCCTCTCTGCTTTCCTCCTCAGAGAGATGCAGAGAGGAATGAGGTCACCCTCAGCCTTCTTTGCTCCAAACTAGACAAGCCCAAATTCCTCAGCTGCTCTGCACAGGACTTTTTTTCCAGACTTTAGCCAGATTTGTTGCCCTCCTCTGGCTGCACTCAAGGACGTTCACATTCTTTTTAACCTGTGGGGCCCAGAATTGCACACAGTGCTCAAGGTGAGAGTGGCAGACAGCAGGATAATCACCTCTTTTGACCTGCTGGTTGTGCTGTGTTTGATGCATCCCAGGATGTGGTGCCCTCTTGGCTGCTTGGGACCACTGCTCATCTGACCAGCACCCCTGGATCCATTTCCACAGGGCTACTTTCTATCCACTGGTCTCCCAAATTATGCTTGTGTTGGGCATTACTCCACTATAAGTGCAGAACTCGTGTTAAATTTCATCCCATTAATCATAGCCCAATGCTCCAATCTATCTAGATCCCTCTGCAAGGCCTTCTGTCAGTTTGGTATCATCAGCAAACTTGCTAATGGGGCACTCAACTCTTGCATCCAGATCATTGATGAATGTATTGAACTGAACTGGCCCTTGAGGAATGTCACTGGAGACCAGTCTCCAGCCAGATGTAGCCCCATTCACTACAACCCTTTGATAAAAACTATAGACCTTTTTGTAAACAAAGAGAAGAAAGTATCACTACACATAATTCCAGGGCAGGAAATTGATGACAGGACGCAAAATATTTGAAAAATTTCTATAAATCCCAAACTAACTCCCCAATTCAATTTCCTAGTGAACTCTCCATTTGTCTATCATAATCAATAAAATCTTCACTCCAAAGAAGTCTAACAGAAGCTCCACCAAGGTTTTCAGTAAAAATGCACTTTTATGTCTCAAAAATTTATTCACCAGGAAATCAGTAAACTGGAAAAAAGAGTAATTAATTACTAGGTGCAAGTCATTTCTCAACTGCTACTTGACATGAGATTACTTAGAGAAAAAGCACATTTTCTAAAGTATTTGCTTATATCCTAGAGCAATTTCCACTGATAAAATTACCTCCTAGAAACAAAATTGAAATGTTCTTTTAAAAGCATAAGAATAAAAGCTTAAACACTTGAATTTTAATCTATCCTAAAAATCAAAAGAGCAGGATCTACAGAGAAGTAGCAGATTTTTGCTCAAGATAGAAAGAACATACATCTATGTTTCTTTTGTCCATTGCAAGCGTTGCTATCATGGTAGTCATGCAGTTTCCTCCCAGGCTGTCTCTTAGCACTGAGGTCATCATAGAATTTCGGTAAGGAATGTGGGACCGGTTTTTCTCTGCAAGGGCAATTATTACCTGAAACAATTGCAAAAATAAAAGACTTTTAAATTTATATGTTTATTAATTAATGCTTGATACATATAAAGAACAAATCCAATCTGCTCAGGAATTTTTGACACAACGAAACAATGTTTATGCACCCCACTGTTAGATGTAAACCCACTGGCTTTACTGAAAGAATTCCAAGTTAAATTTCAGCATGTTTATGTCTTTGTAGGAGCTGGACCTGAAAAACCAAATACATTAAATTTTATCATGGCCTAGCCTTACAGTCTCTCAGCAACATGGAAATTGAACATGATAAACTCAAACCCACAGGTTTTCCTAAGACATAGGAACTTACTGAAAATCTTCCTCATACGTTTTTGTCATAACTATAAAATATGGATACTATTAAAGTAAAAACTTCCTCAATATTTTCTAAAGCATGCTTTAAAATTACACATTCTTAAAACACACACTTCTTAGATGGTACAATACATTTATTTCTGAGAAAATGTCTTGGAAAGCAAAGCACAAATAAAAGGGTGCATGATTACAATGTACTGCTGGAAAGAAATGATTCAGTTTAGAATATATATACCTTGGCCAAAAAGGAAATTGTACACCTACTATTCTCAGTTTCCCTCCTCAGCTGTTTACATTATGGGACCTAATTATTAAATAAAAAGCTAGATTATCCCATGATGTCCTGTGATAAAAAAGATTTGAACTGTTACCTGGTCAAGCACTGTACTGAAAAACTTTAGCTATTTGAATAGTGCAAGCTCTACTAAATGATTAGGAGTTGATTTTTCTTTAATAAATGTTACATATCAGTGTATATTTTATTTATGCTACATTTACAAAAATTGCTATTTTAGAAAACTTAGTAGTGACTTTTTGTGGCATTGGTTTCTCTTAATGGTCTTCAGAAAGTGAAAAGTTAAAACCATAAATCTTACACTGGCAGCCCTGAGAGATACAAATGCATAATAAGAAAATTACTATCTTTTATAGGAATCTGGAAACCCATTCCCAAAGCAAGGTTTTCAAATCTCATATGTTACAACTTGCTATATAGAAACACGTTTAAGTTTTGTGGGTTTATAATATTGCATAGAAAGCTCATAGTAGTCGAGCACATTCATTAATAAGCACATTCTCAGCCTGTGCCACACAGAGACCATAACTGGGACAGACAAGAAGGGAAAAGAGCCAGAGAGAAGGTAAGTTATTTCCATTATAGTGGGGAACATTGTTATGGGGAAGTTAATTTTTTCTGAAGTTCATGCAGGAAGTCTGCAGCACAGTTAGAATCTGAACCCTCCCACACTAACACTGAAAAGCTGTCACCAGTTCTCATGATGCAGAACCCATTGCCCTGTCACGGTACAGTCCCATAACACAGACGATTTTAGTCTAAAGTGCCATTAATAAAACCTCACCTTAATCACTAACTCAATCTTTACAATCCAATCAAGGAATCTGGAACAGAAAGAGGAGAAGCTGAAGGAGAAGGAAGTAATATTCTTTGACAATGTGACAAAGTCCACCTGTACACAAGCTGAACCTGGATTCTCTAAGAGGCACCAGATGCGATAATCAGAAAATTGTCTCATTTAAGGTGTTATTGTCCTTTAGATAGAAAAAGGGGGATTTTATTATTATTTTTTTAATAATTGTAATTTTAAGCTTAATAATATCACTAAAGCAGAAAGTTTCATTTTGAGTGGGTGTTACAAAGCACTTTTAGGCCTAGTTGCTGTCAGAACTCGTCACTTTTGTAAAGTTGCATCCTATATGAAACATAGAGCAGGTACAATCACTCATAAAGAACTCCACTGACATATGTGGAAACACTGCTAAGCATGAAGGAAAGTGCAAGACTTGCAATTTGTTCTGACATGATCTGAAGTGTGCCCAAGAGTCCCTGTTTCTGCCCACATCCTTTCTGCAAGGAACAGATTTGCACCAGTATCTCATGCCAGCATATTTTCAGAGAATACTCAAGAGATGGGGATTTTGGGGTGCATCACTTGCAGAAACAGAACTGTCAGGTACACCTCTATCTTGCTGTTTAATGTCTCACATGCTCTGAAGTAATATTCCTGCTTCAGAGGTCTGGTTTTTTTATGTTTCCCATCCCACTTCCATTTCTAGTAGAGTTTAGAAGCTTAAACTCTGGTCTTTATGGAAAAAAAAAAATCAACAAACAAAACCAAAAAACAAACCAAAACAAAAAACCCGAAGCAGACCAACCAAACAAACGAGCAAAAATCAATTAAAAAAACCCCTTTGGCAAATACGAGCAGCAACCATTCGCTAATGGATAAAATCTTTCAACATTCCATAAATGGAACACGTGTTAAATGATGGTTAACAAATGTCTTCATTTAAGAAGTGAGAACATTGTACCCTGTTATTTTGGGGAAATAATTCCATTATAGTGTCAAATCAATGGCAAATGTTAATTTGCAACTCTAAATCTGGTCCAGGATCCTCTATATATTTGTATCATAAGGGGATATCTACATATGCACAGTTACATTGCAGTTGTAATTCCAGAACATGCTTACTACATCTCTTAGACAAAAAAAGCTACCCAGATATGGTAGTAAGGACTTCTAAATTCCTGCTATCATTTCAGATCAGCTGCATGAAACTATCTTTATTTTCCTCTAGACATAGAGGCCGCTTGGAGTAAAAGTGCAGTAGATTTATTTGAAAACCTTTTTAACATGCTGTGGATATTCAACAAGTAGATCAAGTGTGGTAACAGAAAATTGCTTTCTCATATAGCTAATTTAACATGACCATTTACTGTGAAAAGTATTTCAAAATGGCATAAATCAACACTAGACCACCACTAGACAGATAAAGAGTTGAAAATTTTAATAAGCTGATTTTGAGACATTTTTAATATTATTCACTGCAAGTTCAGCATTGAATGATTCAATTCCCACTGAACAAAAAGATATTTTTACTGTCTTTGGTGGTCTTTTATTCAATATTAGAAATAATTTCTCTTGATACACAATCCCAGACAGAATCCAACATGTCTATTTCCAATAGTATTTCTCTAAAAGAGGAATTATAAGTGGCATGAAAAAAATAATATTTTCCCCTGCTAAATACATAAAAATCATGCAATAAATAAGAAGGGATCCTGAGTATGATTTGTATGACACTGAAGACATCCATTTTAGGGTCACTGATCCTTATCACTTCCCTTGAGTACAACTCAAATACAGACATTTTTCTTCAAGGTAAAATTTAAACAAATGAGGGGCATGAAAAAAATCCAGTGTGATAGTAAATGACTGACTGCCACCTGCTGTACCTTAAGCTTCTTATTTTGACAGATGAAATATCTCTGATCATAAATTAAATGAAATCCAAGAGATTTATTTTTGTTAACAGGAAAACACGTAACACAAAAATGAAAAATATTTTCCCAGCAAGTAGAACACTTGTATTTGCTAATCATTATTTTAAAGAATTTTCACATATACACACCCATAAAATTTTCAGGTTTAATGATCTCCTCAACTGTATATTTTACTAAATAGCACATATACCATAATGTAAATTAAAGAGAACAGATTTGAATTTTGGAGTTAAGCCTTTTTCGTTCTCCCTATCCCACTTAATTGTCCCCCTAAAAGACAGCCTCACAGACCTGCTATGTGTTTTCCTAAAAATTTTTAAAGAAGCCTTAGGAGAAAATACTTTATCCTCCACCAGAACCCCCCAAATAATTAATTTCTAGCAACATGAACAGTTTGCTGTACTGTGAAAACAATATTATATATTCAGTCTTAGGAAGAAATTAATTTCTCTTAGAGGTGTGAGATCTGAAATGGACACTTGAAAATCATCAGTAATTGCAACATAATAGCACAGCATTCACAAAAGAGATTTCATTCATAGCCAAGTGTTTCTTACCCTAACTTGGTAAGCATCATAAACATCAAACATATAAAACATCATGGTAGGTCAGAGAGAGATATGTATTTGAGTATTAAAAGTATTTTTTAAAATATAGTACTAAAATAATTAATTTTAATAATGAACATAATAATTATCTAATTATTAGAAAACACACATTAATAATAATCATCATAATTAACCAAATCTTTCTACTGGAAATTTTTATCTCCAAAGTTTCCTTTCACTGGTGCTGTCTGAAGTAAATCTTTTTTTAAATTAATAAGATTAGTTAGTAGCAATCTATTTGCTCAACATTTGCCTTTTTCAAAGAGGAAAAATTTTAAAAAACAGTATAAGAAGGATAGAGATTTTAGTACTCTTCAAATCAAGAGGCTAAATCTTTTCAGTAACAACAGCTGAATGACAAAGATTTGTGGTGATTCATTATCACTATTATCATTATTGTCTCTATGAGTTCTATTGTAATAAATCTGATCATGGTAATCACTCCATAAATACATTACCAAAGATAACTTCTGTCTCAAAAAGCTAAAAGATTTAAATTGGTAGAAGAATAAAACAACACAGGAAACAAGAGCCTAATAATTTACTATATTACAATGCTTGAACCAAATAAAGCCCAAACACTTTCTTTTCAGCGATATATTCTGATCCCAGCTGTGGAAGGGGAAGAAGATTATGAACAACACTTTTAGGAGAAATAGCTGCAATCCCGTAAATAATCTTTAGTATTCCAAAGAAAACAAGCAAACTACTTTGGAAATACCTCCCTGTATACCTAATAAAATCTTACTGCTTAATTGCTAAGTTTTCCATAAATTAAAATATTTTATTTTAAATGAAGACCTATCAATTCAGTAATTATTAAAAAAAAATAAACACTGCAATAAATATCCTAAAACTAAGTGAATATTGGAATCAAGTTTTCCAAACAATTGGAAAACTTGATTGGAACCATTGGAAAACATTGTTAAATAGGAATTTAGTAAAGGGAGAAATGTTTCACTCTGTTTCAGTTTTACCTGCTCCAAATAATGTAATGACAGGTTGATATATTTGGCTTCTGTCAGTAAGTGACCTCCAATTCCAGTCTTTGCAACACGTTCTGATCCAGCAAGGTCTACTAAATGCAACTTGGAACGTCGGATAGTTGCAGATCCAGGCTCCTTGCTGGAGATGTGAATTGTGAAAATGCAGTGAGATCGGCTTGAGGCTTGATTCATTGGTGTCTACAATGGCAAGAAGAAAAGAACTCTCAGTTCTGTTCAGTGGATAAACAAATTTCGCTTCTTATAGCTCAATAATCTGGCAACTGAAATAATCTATCTGATTTTTTAGCTATTGGACCTGCAATGAACATGCAAAAAGAACCCAATAGGATTTACCTGACATTCACATTCTGGACAATACTTGGATAACTTTAATCTTGACAAATTTTACTGCAAGCAACAAAGGTTATTCCAAAATACTCTAAACGGTAGCCAAACAAGAGGCCTTACTACATGAGGAATACTAGAAAAAGACACCTTGACTGGAGGGAAAGTTACTGAATGCTGATCTCTGAAAAGTTATTAATTTCCCCATTGGTATATTAATTTTATTTTTTGTTCCTGACGTGTAGCTACCAGTGTAATGAGGACTAGGACTTCCTATAAGGCTTTAAACTTTTGCCTTATTACTTTTATGAAAAAAAATTCTCTTGGCAAAATCAGTACCAGATTTTTAGGTGGCATGACAGTTTTCATAAAATGTTTGGCTTTAAATACATTTTTTTGGGAATAGCTACAGCCACAGTTCCTTAACTTAAAACATGGAAATTCTTTGTTAATTTTTAGTGATGCACAGTCTTACCATCACTTCAGAGGTTTTGTCAATATATCTGAATTGCTGAACTGAGGATTTTAAACAGCCCCCAGTTATTTAACTTTAGATTTCAAATGACCATATGCCATCACACATGCATCTTCCTTAAAAACTTATAAACTGTCTTTAAGCATCTAAATAACCTTTTGCTTAGCTGTATTAAGGTATTGTTAAAAACTTAAATCTGAAATAACCCCTCATTATCCTCATTTTATAAACAGCTAAAGCTTTAGAGAATGTATGGAGATTAAAGTTTTAGCATACAGATAGTATTTTTATTCATAAACTATAACAAGTATGACTACATAGCTTTCAGGATGTAAATGCACTACCTGCAAAAAATAGAGTAGTAAAATAATAAATCAATATAATTGAGTCAGCAACTAAATCCATATTTATTTATAGCTGCTGAAAAAAGTAATAAAGAACATCCTGGCTATACTGTCTACATTAATCTCTTGTCTCTACTATTTTCCTCTGTTAATCTGCAGTAATTTTTTATGTAGACCTATCCTGTGATTCAGGCCAGATATACCAACATATTGCTTTTTTTTTACATAATCTGCTTTAGCATGCAGCACTGCAGATGTTAAAATGGCCTATATTGAAGATGTTGCCTTATTGATCCAGAAAGGACAGCTCTTAACAGAAAGACTGCAAACTGAACAGTCCTTTAACTGGATTAATATGGACCATTTGGTTCAACTGTCGCCACTTCAACTTCTCATTTTTTTTTCAGCTTTAATGGTGCCACCCCAACCAAATGGATTTTGGGAACTGATCCAACTCAAAATTAAATTTAAAAAAAAATTAAAAGATTTAAAAAACCGAAAAACTGCAAACCATGGATATTTAACCTGGATCAGTTTCTTGATTCAGCCACAACACCTCTACAGAAAACAGTTGGGGCAGAATGTATATAGCATGTGAACAAGTAGGTGGTATGCAGGAATAGCATGCACTTGCAGCTATTACTGAAGATTCTGTAAGGAAATTTCAGCCTTAGCAGTATTTTCTTTTGGGCTGCCTTCCCTAATAAAGGCAAGCTCAGAGGGAGAGAAAAAAGACTTTTGTTCATTAGTATATACAGATGAAGAATTTTGGAATTCATGATCCTGTGAAATGAGCATCAGAGTGTAGTCACATGCTATGCTGTCCTCAGAGGTGATGCTGGGCAAATGAAGGGGAAGTGAGTTGTAGCGTTGGAATGGAAATAAAAAGGGCGAGAGAAAGTTGTCAAGCAAGAAAACACTCCCAAACTTACTTAAAATGCAGCTATTCTAAGGAAAAATTATATGCTGTGAAAATGTACTTTGTTCAGCAATTCTGATTCCATGAATAATCAGAGCCAGTTTCACTTATTTTACTAGGACAGCTATGATTCTTTTTATTTGCAGCTCTGTGAAGCAGGACTGGATATTTTATTTTTTTGAGCTAAAAAAACACAACAAAATTAATATTTAAGGAGATTCTCCTTGACAGAACTGATATTAAGGGGCATTTTGCTCTACAGGCATGGCATCAGTAACACCATACTGCAGATAAGTCTAAGCCAGATAAAATATCAGCAGAGGTGGAAGCACAAAACAAACATTGCTATGACAGAAGCTGAAGAAATCATCACACTTCTGAGTAAGCATTCTTAAGCAAACTTGAGTTTCACGCTGTAGCAAAACCTCATGTATTTAAAAAAATGCTTTAAGTCACACCCATTAATGCCAACAGAGGCAAAAAATGTTTCAAATCCTAAAAGAAAATAATTTCAGGATACTGAGTTCCAAAAAGCACATGGCACTATTTACTCTACTAGGTTTTTATTGTCTATTCCGATGCACTAGCTATAACTTTATTTTGCATATTCGAAGTAGATTTGGCTGGATTAGTCACTACAAGTTCCATTGCTTTTCTCTCCACAGCTTCTATTTCTCATGAAATTGAAAAAGTGAGTGAAGCTGTTTTGGAAGTCACTGGCTAGAATCCCAAACTGATATTTTTGTAAAGTCCTTCTTCAGAGTAGAACCATGGTTTAATCAAGGAACCAATACTCCTTTTTGCAGTATGATTCCCTCTGATTTGCAGTTCCCATATATAGGAAGCTCAGTTAGAACTCTTGCAGAAAAATAAAGCAATAAAATTTAAACTGTTAAATGGGAAGCGATCATGAAATGCTAATTGCATAATCCCCCCACACTTTGCTACTATTATGACATGTAGATGTAAAGCACACAACAGAAATGATTTACTGGTATCTCCAGTCCAAAAACAAGCCTTTTCTTTTGCTATTTGATTGTTATCTTACATATGCAACTTCTGAGTATCACCATTCTTCTGTTTAGAAAGTTTGAAAACAAATAACATTTTCTGGACAGTGTCTCAGAACCTACTAAAATGTTCCTTTAGTGGTTTTCAGAGTTCATGTTGGCTTTGTTAGCAGTATTCAAACCATATGTATATGAAATCATCCTCACACTAATTTGATGTGATGAAGGAAAAAAAAGAAAGAGAGGAGTGGCCTGGTTCTCAGCAGATGGTTGCTATTGTGAGAGTTATATATAGAACAACTGAGGAGCAGCAGTTACTTACAAAGAATAATTTTTTCCAGGAATTCTGTGACATCATAAACCGCATAAGCAGACTTCAGATGCTTTGTGATATCATGTGAACACTACAAAGGACTTAATGCCAGGTCTACTGCTGCCTGTTTGTGGCATGGTAAAGGATACATTCAGTAACATTTAAGATCATGACTTGGTTAGGCATCAGCATTTCATTCGATCATCGAAAATATGTACAAGGTGTATTTCAAGCCATACAAGCCAGTCTTGTTTTTTCCCAGGGCAAAATATACCTGTGTTCGCTCAAATTAAATAAACTGTAGAGAATCTTTGTGACTTAAACTACTACATCTATTTATACAATGGTTGCAAGAAAGCGGCTTCTACTTAAATGAGAATCTACATCATAGTCATACTGCAAGAAACTTCTGAGTTGGATATTTCTGCCAAGGAATACAAGGTCAAGAACCATCCAAAAAGTTGCTGGAACCTAAGTTGTCCATCTTAATCTAATTCTTACCTATCTTAAATCAGCAAAACACTGCAGGAATTCTTCCTTATACAGGAATGTATGTATTTCCCAAACCCTTTATTTGTTGCAGCTGCTGTTACAAATGTTTTCACTAAAAATAGCCAGAAATGGATGCTACTGGTCTAAATAGAGTTATTAAGGATTGAGGACCTAAGAAAGAAAAAGTTTCTTAAATAGGACAATGACATATGAAAAGCTGTTTGAAAATCACCATTAGACTAACAGAAGCTGCTACTATCTGGAAGAATAATGTGATGATTATGGCTGCCAAAACACCCTGACAGAGATAATACATGAAAGAGTTCAGGACCACTGGGACAAAACAATTTTGCAGGTGATAAATGCAGTTGTTCAGCCCATATTGCAAACCATCTCCACTTGGCAACTTATACTGTTCCAGTGGAATCTTTTCTTCCTTGAATCAAAATATTTAGACAACAGAACATGATTTTCCCGTATGAGTGAATTAGTGACTAGCCAATTCATAAAGAAAGACTGATTCTGAGTGTTCACAGTTTTTCGAGAAAATGTCTCAGTGAAAATGTACAAAATTTAATTTTAAGGAATGCTTCTTTTTCTCCTTAAAGATTTTTGCTTCTGAACTTTTCAAAGAAGAGCAAGAGGAAAAAAAGAAAGTACTAATGGCATCCAAGATTGATATCAAATCAATTTTCTCCAATCTCATGCTACAATCAGAGGAGTATCTGTAGGATGATGTTCTGACAGCTACAGTCATTTCACAGTTCAGATTAATATCTCTGCCTAAATAAAAACTCCACCGGTCCCAACAGAACTATGCTATAAGGAAGAGCACGTAAATTGAAGAATAGGAGGTGCCTGTCTTTATATCTGATAGATGAGAGAGACCTCAGTATGTCTTTAGTTTCCTTTCTAAATGATATGTTACAGGTGAAGGGGCTCCTCAGTTGTACGTAGGTACACTTGTCATAGTTGAAATTGAAAAACTGTTGCTATTAAAATATAAGCATCAGAATAGGTACAATCACTTCCTGAAAGCAATGCTTTATCTTTCCATATTTATTACAAGTACAGTTAGACCATGGAAACTTTTAAACTCAGGTAACTTTTAATTAATATTCCGTGGTGATGACATTGTTAAGCCTTATGTTATATAGTACCTTTTTTCCCAAATCCCAAAGCATTTTAAGGACTATTCATAGTATGTATGACCAGTAGTTTTTTTACCAAATATGGAAATGAAAGCACCTTTGCTGAAATAATGATGCCATTTGGTGCTAATAACATAACAGGTTTGTTGGAGTAGAAATAAGTTAACAATTGACACAAAAGAGGAACCTAGGAAAGCAGAAAGTTGTAATTTCTTCTAGACTGCAGCACTAACCCAGACAGCATGCATTTTTTTCAAAAGTGACATTTAATCTCATATGCTAACACACTGAAATCCTATTTTTTCTGTCTCATCCAATAAAAAAATGCAGTCAAACACTACCAGTGGCTTTTAAAATTTATTCAAGAGAATACTAGTGTACAATAAATACAAATAGAATTAGTTCAATTCACAGGTCACAAGTCAGTCCCCACAACTATCCTTAAACCTTTAAATTTCATTCTTTCTTGAAATAAACATATTTAAACATTTCCCCAAGCAAGTACTTAATTTTAAATGATGGAAAAAATACTGTGTAGTATACACTGTATCCCAAATTTTAAAAATGGAGTGCTATAGGTATAAAAACATACACTGAAACATTTCCTTCCTCATTAAAACAAAGTATTTTTTCATTAGAAGAAAAATAAATTCTAACTGTGCATGCAACTGCAGTCCTCAGATGTACTAATCTCAGAAAAGGATTTACAGTTTTGAAATTGCTGCACATCCTTGGTAGGCTACCTTACTCCCCTGTTTTAAGAGAAATATTAAAAAAACACTAAGAATTCTCAAAATCACAGTGGTTTAGGCATGTTACTTCAAAAGACAGAAGTCATATGAGATTTCCATCACAAGAACTTAGAAAATACCACTTCAGTGAAGATACATGATTAATATACCAAAATAAAATGTTTTGCCAACACTACTTAAATGGCCAAACACTTTTTTCCACACAGAAGCTTTTTTAGATGCTGTTGCTACCAACTGCTTATATTGCAAATTTGATTTTTAAATCCTCAGCATACATTTCAGATACTGAAATAATAAAGTTGTCTTAACAGATAGAAAAGATAAGAAAAAAGTTCAGATTTTATAACCTGTTGCATTCAACTGTAACAAGAAAATGCTTTATTGGAAGGCACACAAAAATCTAGTCCTTGCATTCAGTAGAGCTGCCAACAAAAGACTCAGTTTTTTGGTTTTGATCTCTGCCTATTTCTCTCTGGCAAAATATGAGACAAAAAATTCCTATTTGGATTTTTACATTATGAATTTCCAGTGCACAAATGTCTCCCATCTTACCAGTTCCACAACTCACAGTACACATCAAAACTAGAGCAAAGGACCAGTCCTACATTGCCTAATAAAACAAACTGGCACAAATTAGATTAGTTTCCTTTTTTCCTTCTCTTAAGCTATATAGTTACATGCAGGAAAGAAGCATTTGGTTATAAACATTCCCTTAGGTTCTGAAATGTAATGAATAAAGGAATGAAGAAATTTTGCCTATAAAATACTTTTAATATTGTGATGACTTTCTTTTTAGCACAATCAGTGATGAGGGAAAAGTGCACCCACAAACCACAAGTTAGACTGCATAGCATAGGCAAAGCAGAAATTAAATTGTCATTCTTTTTTTCAAAAATAGTCAACTCTTCAAAGAAGGGTTATTCAAGGTTAAGACTTAAGACAGTTCTAATCTTCAGACGTCAGAAAGTATTATCATAACTCAAGATTTAAAAATATGGATCTCTGGAGAAGTTATGTTTTATCTCACAAGTCCTCATTCTTAAATCTCTAGATAAACCCTTTTCTCCTCTATTACACTTTGTCAAGTTCTTCTCCTCCACACGGTATCAATTTTTCTATTTCAATATCATGAAGCAGTTCCTTGCCTCAATGCTCAGGTTTATGAGCAGCCTTTTTGTTGATTATCTCTTGCTTTAACATATTCCTACTTCCCAAAATATAACTTGAAATAATCATCCTCGAGAAAGAACAAATATTTGTGTTCTCTATTTACATTTTGTAATCAAATGCTTCTTCCCCTGTGCTCAGGTGTATGTGGTCATCCAGCTGGAACACAGAACTACCTGACTATTCATATACTCTAAGCGTCTTTCTTGTCAATGATTTTTGATATATCCTTTTGGAAATATGGAGGAAGAAAACCCAAAAAGTTCTAAAAGAGAATTAACTCTACTGTAGTAAAGACACATTGCCAGTGCTCCTATTATATAATACACTTTTTATATTTACATTCCACATCCAAGGGAAAAAAGAAACTTACAAGTGTCAGATATGGAAACATTTAATTTGAATTTTTCAGAATCAGTAAAAACACCCTTATGTTATTGGCACATATTATTTTGAATTTCCTTTGAACTACCATTTGGGGTTTTGGTGAGTTTTGTTTGTTTATTTGTTTGGTTTGGGGGGTTTTTGTTTGGTTGGGGAGGTTGTTTTGTGTTGTTACACATAACACCACGTGTTGATGCAATAAAAAGAAAAAAAAGAGGGGACTTATATTAATTTCTTCAAAGGCAATTGAGTTCTTAATCACAGAATCATAGAATTATTTCAGTTGGAAGGGACCTTAAAAATCACCTTGTTCCAACCCCCAGTCCACTCACACCTCACACACCTTCCACTAGAACAGGTTGCTCAGGGCCCCATCCAACCTGGTGTTGAACACTTCCAGGAAAAAACTTCACTGGGAATGTTTGGCAATGCTTTGCAAGGACATATTTTCTTATCTTTACATGTCTGTGTATGTTGATACATGCGACATTCAAAAGTCAGTCTGTAGTTTATGAGAATTTTTGTATTCTACTTATTTGAATTTCAGTAAGTTCTGATATCAAGAGCTACCAATCTGATACACTACGGAGCACTGTCATCAGACAAATGCTTATTTAATTTCACTGTGGAAATACACTCAAAAAGAGGATACTAATTTATGTCCAAGGACTTCTAAAACATACATCTTATTTGAGAGAGGAGGAGAGATGTTTCCGACCATTTTAACTCTGGTGGTGTTAAGAAAGATTTGGAGCAGCAAATCTCACCTCAGCAATCATTCTGTTGGTGTCCCCCAAGAAGAGTAGGTTTAAGGCTTCCTCTTCATTGGTTGCTTGCTGAAGAGACAAGTTTTTCAGATGAATGTTTTGATCAGAGTCTTCCATTATTGTCACTTTTCTACATGGAAAATAAAAACAACAGTGAAAGCTAGAGTTTTTCTGTAATGTTTTATACTTTCATTTTGATGGCACCTAAAAGGTGCGGTCTAAATCCCACACCCAATCACAATGAAAGAACATGAAAAATAAATGATACACATTAAAGTGCTGATTTCTTTTTTTACTGTCACCTCCTTTTTATTCCTTTATTCCTAAACTTCACATAGAAAAGGAATATAAGAAAACTAAGTTTTAGAGGAAGCTTTTGAATTTTTATTTAGTGAGATGTAGTAACATCTCAAGAGTAACAGATTAGATAAAACATCACAAACAAATAATACATAATACAAAGGTTTGTTTGCTATTACCAAGTACAGATGATACATGAAGCATACCATTATTTTGACGTACAAATAGGCATGGAATATTTCAGAATCAACACATCTGTAGTTAACATGTTTCCAATAACTTTGCATTTGCTAAGATTATTTCTCTTTTCATTCTTCTTAAATGGTAGTAACTACAACTGTAAATTATCCCTTTCTTAAATTAAAAGCAAGCTAACAGCACGATTTTATTTATTCTCCCTGTCAGAAATATTCTTAGTTACACTTCTAGAAGACTAAAGCTTTCAGAAAGGAATTGGATGCAAGTAGCAAGGATATGGCAAAAGCTCCAGAAAAGCTGCTAAATATTACTGAAAATCCTTTTCTCTTCTTTGAATAGTCCTTTAACATAAGAAGTTTTTTCTTTCGAAATGGTTACTGAGAATTACACTTTATTGGCATTACTGAGTAGCCATTAGGTCTCAGTTGGGATATTCTATAGTATCCAACATGGAGTGCCTCACTGGATTTGGAAAACTCCCAGAGAGAAGAATCTGTTAAAACAGAAGTACACTAAATCTGAGGATAGATAACATATCCTTCAGGGTAAACTGTATGTTCTGATACAATTTAAAACAAATTAGAACTTTTTTAAAAGTAGGAAGTTGTTGCTTTTATTTAAACCAAAACTTTCTTTTCTGTGTAAGTATAGATAATACTTTCTATCTATACATATACCCTATATGTATACATATATGCATATAAATATTTTTTCATGTTCGTCCAGATAAGCCACAAGAGGGAGTATGGGGCTTGAGTTTCTATCAGTAGGTAGTTCTTGCATTTTAATTACTTCAAGTTGCTACAAAACAGAGAGATTTAGTTATATTCTGCTTTATTTGGCTTTTCCCCCACCACCCCAAACTGAAAATGAAATCAAGCATCAAAGCAGCATTCCATAGTATTACTCTTGGATACTGTGGGAGTAGTTCACAGTCTGATGGACAAAACATTCAAATGGATATAGTGGAGTAATTTTAACACGTTGCAATGCACTCACTGTTTTAAAAAAAGAAAAGTTACATGTAAAAGTTCATACAAAGCTTCTTTGGTAGTCATAAAATTGCATTTCCAAGTATGATTGCCTCCCACTGTTAGCCTTATTTTTGTGTGGTTGTACAAGACGTTTCTCATATAATCACAAAACTCAGCTACCCCATTCAAAGTATGAATCCCAGAGTTTAATCCTGCTCTTGCATATCAAACTTTTGATAATGTCAAGTTGTATTCTGTCTGCATCTGTGTATGCATCACACAGTAAAGCCTAGAGCAGTTCGGATTACAGTATACCCTTATTAACTTGTGCCTTTTTCTGCATCAATTGAGCTGCCACCAATGCAGGAGAGCCTCGCACACTGAATGCTTTCATTTATTAAATTCTTGTTACCGGCAAACAATAACCTTAAAGCTTCCTTTAATTAATACAACCTCATTAATTTGTGTACTATAAATAATAATAAAAAACACCCTTAATATATTTTAGAAAACAAATGATCATTTAAAAAGTCAAGCTTTCTATTATTATATTGTCTCTAGGGATTAGAATTAAAGAAATCTAAAATTATCTCAAAAACTTTATAAACATTTAAACATTAGTCATAATGATGCAAACAAGCAACATATGAAGATACACGACTTCTATGCCAATACATGAGCAGGATATAATGATATTACTTCATTGGGAGGAGACTATAGAGCCAAAATTAAATTTAGGAAAACGATAAAAGAGAAAAGCAGCAAGTATGAATCTCGGAGTCTGTTCAGAAGAACAGAATAAATTAATGGATACTTATAGGTAATATTTTGTAAAACTGCAAGGAATCATAGCTTTTAGGACAGAGTGATCAAGATAAGCATCTTATGTGTATCATCGCAAAAAAGATGATCTTTCAGAAGTACAACTCCATGAATACCACAATAGAGGACAAAGTCAACACTTATTCAAGTGGCAAAGTGACAACGTTATTCAGCTACCCGCACAACTTTCAACAGCGCCCAGATTTAACTTTCCATCCAAGCAGAGATTTGGAGCATAATCTCCCTTATGAGACACGGCACAAGTATGAGATGAGTAAGTGCTCGTGCAGACTGTTTGCTTGACACATCACATTGTGATAGGAAATCCTTCCCACTGTCTCCAATGGATTCTGTTTTGAGACAACAAAAACACAGTTTGGCTGTTCTGGATGTTATGGACATGACTGGAGACTAACACATATTTAGGAGTTAATGATTCACATAGCAGTGAACCTGAGCAGGCACAGGCTGTGAGGTGCTGCACACACAGCAAGGCATTCAGGCCTGAGTTGTGCCGCACAGATCCCTTGGCTGCCAGATAAATGCACTGAGGAGAACACCTTCTAGAATGAAGCTGTTTTCTTGTAAGGAAATTATACAAAGGCTCAAAAGAGCAAAAGGGAGACCTTCCTCTCCATGGCCAGGACCTGCACTGCTCTTGTGCAGTGTGCCATGGGGAAATCCATTCAGGGTCTGTCCAATGCTGCATGGATGCAAGGCACCCAGAATGTGATGGGATGCAAGATTTAGTTGCCACCCATCTTCCTCTTCTTATTCTGTCTTACAAAGTGATGACCCTATTAAGCCATTTGTTGCTAAATCTTTCTTACTGAAATCTGGAAAAAGCTGTGCACTCTCTGCCCCCTCACCCCACCACGTAGAACAAGGAATCAAAGCTGAAACAATGAGATCGGTGGTTCACATATAAACAAAATATACAAAATCTGTTCGAATTTGCAGGCAACTTCAATAATCTCGCTCATAAAAAAAAATAGTTAAATAAACTTTGACATTCACTCATCAAATGCTTGTAGAAAAGTTACCTTTAAAAATTTTCACTGCACTTAATACTCTTTTTCAGGAACCAAAACAACATAAAACATAGATCTGAATAACAAAATATCTAGTATGTTGACGTTATTGTATGCATTTATAGTGTAATTTGTTTGAACTCTAATTAAAAAAAAAGCAATATTAGAAGAAATTATTCAAAACAGTGTTTAGCTCTCCTCTAATTAATAAAAAGTCTTACCTTACAAAACTTTGTATTTTCTTAACCTTTGGTATTCAGTAGTTACACAATGAACACTTAATTTTGAAAGAATGTATTTGATATAAAAACAAGTGAACCAGTAATATTATTAGCCTTAGGAGTTTTAAAATACTGATAATTCTTGGAACACTGAAAATATAGTTCTTGAAGGTTTATCGTTGGTGGTCAGTTTCCAGATGACATAGTTGGTACAGCCATTAAAAGAGGCTGACATTACCACTGCTGAGACTGGAGAGAAGAATCAGGTTTATTTGCATTAAAAAAAAAAAACCAGACTGAATAAACTATATTTCCTATACGTTGATAATTATTCCTTTAGCCTTATTTTATTTTTATCCTTATTTGTTAAGGAAAATAGGAACTATTATAATATTTGTTTTAGCTTTCCATGTCAGCAATTTGGTAACACTTAAAACCCTTGGAGGGCAGTAGAGAAACAGAAGATACAAACTCATTTGATGTAATTTACCAATAAGCAGTAATAGGTTTGGTTTAAAGGGAAATTATTTCACACTGAGCCAATGGAACATAACAGTTCTGCATGTTACTAACATATATTGATATAGCCATTGTTGATGTTTGAAATTAATTTGCTCTCAGATTAAAGTACGGTTTTCTTAAAGTCAGACCGCATCATACTAAAAATTAAACATTTCCCTCTCAAAGAGGACTTCAAAGAATCTTCATAGAAAAATGGGGAATCTCTTTTGCTGACTTGAAGTTTAGATTCTATTTTTCCCTGATCACCTCACTCCAAAATAATGGTTGTGTGAGTTCCCTGACAAGCAGCTCCTCAATTACTGCAGCTTAGACTGTCATCCTAAGGCAAAACAGCACTAATTGTAGTGTGTCTTCACATGCAAGAGGGTGACCTGCCATCAGACAGGTAAAGAAGTAATTTATTGGTTACCTAAGAATTAATCTAGTCATTCTTGACTATTGGTTCTATAACCTCAGTCTTTACTTTTGTGTTATATATGGCGTTAAAAATTTCTTACTTCTGAATAAATAACAACACATTAAGAAGAATTTTACCGGTAGGTTGTAACCAAAGCGAAATTCAGTAACATTGAGTTACATAAATTACAAATAAACCACAACTGAGAACCTGTTGGACATAAAAGGCTCTTGCACAAATGCATAGTAAATTAAGAACTTTAGAAAAGTATTCCTAATTTGAACACTCCTGCTAAACTTTTATGAAAACATAAGGTGGCAGTAAGTATTTAAATAGTCTTCTATCAGCTTTATTTTATAGCAATAATTTCATATCTTTGTGTTGAAAACAATCATAATTTCCGTGTATGAACATGGAATTCTCTACAGCTACAAATAGAATTAGATTGTCAATATTAAATTAAATTTCTTCATTCTAGCAAGTAAGATTCTTCAAATTTTTTTTTTGTATCTACATGTGGTGGATTTCATCTGCAGTGTCACAAAACTAAAACACTCTCAGATTTGTATCATGAAACAAGTTGCAATTGTAAACTGAAGAATATTTATATGAAACATTAAGGTATATCAAATTATATCTTCTATGGGTTATGAGTAAAAGTCCAATTAAACATCAAGGAAATTGTTTTTTTCTGCTAAAACAGAAGTTCAATGGGATTTCAAAACCAAACTTAGTTACAGATATTTCTACAACAACTATCAGAAACATGATACCTATTAATGTATACATATATAAATATCTATATGTATGTATATAAAATAGGTATATGTATACATATACCTACATGTGCATGAATATGCAAATTATTACATAATTCTGCATAGGAGTCTATACATGTATACATATAGATGGACATATGAAAGTGCAGCAATATGGCCGACATTCATGCATTTGTCAGGAATTTATTTCCGTAAAAGTACTGATTATTTTTGTGAGAGCTTCTTCCTTTCTCATCTGGCAGACTCAGATGAAATGAGTAAGCAATGCTAAGATGAAAATTTCATAGTCTACAGGATATGCGAAGTATGGCTACACACAAAACCTTGACTTGAGGAGCTGAGAATCCAAGTCTAACCATGTAATGTTTAGATGCAATGGACAATTTTAAAAATGTTTATTATTCACTTTGCCTTAAGCATCAAATACAATTTTAATGTCTCATTTTTCAAGTACTATCAACAAGCCTCTAGTGTATCCACAAGCCTTTGCTAACTTCTATCACCTGAATGTAATCTGTGTTTTTTCCTTTCATTAAACTGTTAACTTAAAGTTAAGAGTGCAGAGTTTGCTGGTCAGAAGCAATCTTTCATTCAAACTACATCCCCTTCTTTTGCAAGAATATAGCTAACAATATTGTTCCAGAACAATCTGCACGTTATATGAAGTTAACTAATCTTTTTGCTTATTCTTCTAAAATGACACATTTCTTCAATACTCTTCTTGTCCATCTTACATACTTTAAAAAGTATCAGCATTGACTGCTAATATTTACCAAGAACATAGGGTGAATACCCTGCCTTTGGCTTTTTATGGTGCTTAAAGCTTAAATGATCCACTGTGGAGTTCAACAGAAAATTATGCACAATATGACACCTTAAAAGTACAAAAACCATAAATTCCTTTTAACATTCTCATTAAATACAAGCTTTCAAGCAAACTTAAAGTTATTAGTTTGCATTTTGCTATCACTAAAATATTAAGAGGTTTTAAGCACATATAATTCTCCAAAAATATATATATTAAGTAATAAAAAGCTGGTAAATGTTAAAATATGTGATTACTATTTATGTATATGTAACCTCTACTTTACCATTTAAGAAAATTAATCAAGTAATTAAAATATAGTTAATCATGCAACTACTCATTTCTGCAACTTTTACTCCCTTTTGAGCTCAGAATGATACTATATATTTTTAAGTTTTGAATCCCTAGACTACAATATTAAAGAAATAAACAAAACATATTTTATTAATTAAATACTTTTACACATGCTAAATATGAGTCATGTAGGTATAGTTTCAGTTTACAGAACATATTTTTATTGATCAATGATGCAGTGGAAATAATAATGTCATAATAATAATGTACAGTAAAACCTTGAAGCACTTATTAACATTAGTTACTCTGCAGAGAAAAAATTATTATCTTACTAAAGCTCATCTTGGAGTAGTATACACTATGTAAATTTACACATGTAACAACAGGTAATTATGATTATCCCAGCATGCTTTATTCCTAATTTACAATCAAATTATCTATCAACTTTTACTTTTTAAATAACCTTATACACAACACAGAGTTATTGTTTAGTTTAATTGAATCTTCATACATAAACTAATTGGAGGACTCTAAAACTCACAATTATTAGCAAATATTCTGTACCTAGTTTTAAAATATGACATATTTTCCAGGGCACGTGACCCCAAATATCTGTTCCAAAGCTGCAATTAAATTATTAAAATTCAGTTTTTTAGAATTGAATAAATTAGTTCTTATAAAATGTTAATTGGAATGAGTTCAGATAAAATATTTCAAATAACTTAATAAATGAAATTAATAATGCAATAAACTTGAATAACTTATTAGCATTAACTTTATTAAGTTGAAAAAACTGTAACGTACTATTTTTTACATCCTGTAAAAATGGACACAGAATTAAATTATATTAACCAAACTAGCCTCTGATTAAAATTTTTGTCTGCATGCCACAGGAAGCAGGTAATGAGTTAAATTAGAATCCTAAACATCATCATGAAAGACACTATAAAGACACACAGTCCTTACAGCACGGATGTGTCATAAAACAATAAATTTTACTTCCATTTTTCAGGTACAGAAACTGAAACAATTAGACCAATTCCTACAGCCCAGTCCCACACTTTGCATTTGTCTGCTGCTTTTCTAATCTCTAAACTAGATTCTTTTATAAAGACCAATCTTGAAAATTATTTTGTACATACATATCCTAGATACCCCATACTGTGTGGAAAAATAATGTTGCGTTTAAACACAATAAAAAATTATGTTGGAAGATTTTTTAAAATAAATAATACGGTATAATACTATGTGAATGACAAATAATTATTTCAAAATAAAATTCTACTGATTTCCTTTTATTGCCCCATTGAAAATTTTCAGTATGTTTCCTGCTCTTGTATCAGCAGCGATTTCATTGCTATTTACAAGTGTCTGTTACCATCATGTTGAGCGATAGAATTCATGGTGCCCAGCATTATTTCAGGGCACTTGTGAATCCAGAGAACAACTCACTTATTCACACCTATTTAGTGCTTGCTTGGTTATTTAAAAATGACACAGACTATAAGCTATTATTTCAGATTTAGAGACTAGGATTTATATTTCCTATAAATTAGCAGTCTTTAACTTTACCAGCTGGAGTGTTCATGACCTACAAACCATTGTTTACTACCCTTCTCCAAGCATTAGTAGGTGCTAGCATCTGATCAATGACAACTGTTATAACAACCATCTATTCTGAAGGAAATGTACTGTTCTCTGGAGCTCCTTGTGGCCTAATTTATAGCTGTAACTTTCTTTATTTCATAATTGCTTATTCTAGAAAAATAATTATCCTTGAAGGAAAAGGTCCAAATAAAAGCAGGGACATTTTCTTATTAATGCTGCAAGGAAATACCACCTGTTACATGTCTCTGCCACACATAGTCATACATGCCATACAAAGAGACAAGCTGCCATGAGAAAAACAAGTGCACCTCCTTGTCAGTAGCTGCAAGAAATCTCTTCTGTGTAATAGCAACAAACACTTTTAATCCTTTCATTTTTGGTTACTCACTAGCCTCCATACACACAAAATAACAGAATATATAGGCATCATTGATAAAATTGTGAAAACAAATTATTCTGATTAAAGTGATGTTGAGATCAGTAGCACAACTTCAAAAAGTCCCCAAACAATGTAATAGGGTATATGAAAAAGATTCCTCTCGATTTTGATGATTTTCTGTAATTGCATTACTTACGGCAAATCTTCCATTCTGGAGGCCTCATGTCTCGGGTCCAGCAGATCATAACCACATTCATTGTAGATTTCTAAGTAGGAAACATGAGTTGTGTACACTTTACTGCTATCCTGGAAAAGAAAATAGTGCTATAAACAGAAGTCAGAGATGGATTAGAAGACAAATTTGTTTCTATGGCTTCAAAGTCACTTTCTCACTTTGTCTCTTTTCCTGGGTATGGCGCACATTTTCAATTGGTGATCCTTTCATGTTTATGTGTTACCATATGCATAAGGACTCAAAAAGAAGAAAGGAAAAAACCCACAAAAACCCCCAATCAAAACAGAGACACATATACACAAAACTCACTAAAACAAAAATCCCCCAAAAAACTCTACCATGACCATGAGTTTAGTCTGAGATTTTTAATTGATTCTGTATACTTTAAAAAGTCTGTATATATTTAGAACATGAGAGCTGCTTACAGAACTATGCAACATGACATTTTTCACTTCTGCACTCAAAAAAGAATGTTATTATAAAAAGGTAAACGCTCATATTATGGATAGAAAGACTATGCTTAAAGAAAAAAAAAGAAAGTAAAAACAGCAACAAAAATAAGATTTACTTCATTTATAAACATCAGTGACATACTGCTTTTCACTCTCTTCATCATAACATTAGAGCACTAATGATATGTATATGATGTCAGTTGTTCTCTGCAATCACAATTCTTTTGGTAAATTACATTGCCAAAAAGTAATTTAACACAACTGAGTTTTGCAGACAGAATTTTCCTCTGCCCCAAAGCCAAATCCAAACAACATAAACCTCAAAATAGTGGGCTATGATTTCCAAAATTAAAGAAAAAAAAAGAATAAAAAAATCAGTCATTTCTTTTCAGCAGACAAAGCCACTGTGAAAGCACTCATATCACAGTAGAAATTTAATAATTCAATCCGTTACAGTTTTTTTTTGCAAAATACTTTGAGATATAACTTGTCACTTTCATTTAATAATTATTTCCCATTTTTTTTAATTGGTTATGACAGTTCAGTATTTCAAGGGACATAATTTAAAAGAAACACTACAGATGGATGGAAAAATGTAGTAAGGAACAGCTCAAACAGGATGCCTTGGAAATAGGGGAATTTCTAAATTAAAAGGAGATGTTATTAAAAACAAAGGGCTGGATTTGCTTCTCATTTAGGGTAAAAAGTTTTGTTTCTTTGGTTTCAAATTGCACTGTCTTTATCCAAATAAAAGCTTAACAAGTCTTGTATTTCATGTCCCTGATTTCACTTTCTCCTGTTTCATCCTACTTAGGATTAGAAGGCAAATGATTCTTCTCCACTATTGGAGCACCTTCCAAACCACAGTTGTAGGTATTAAAGAAATGAAACAGGGGAAAGATATTAAAAGCAAGGCAAGAGGAAAGATAAAACACCAAGAAGAGATTCGTTAAAAGGCTCTAGTAAAAAAAATTATATGAAACAATGATTTGAAATACCCCCATAAGCATAACTACGTATAGCTTTTGATTCAAAACCCAGTCTGAACAGGGAAACATTAGTTATTTCTGTGCTGAGAAAGGGACAAACATATTAGTTATTCTTCATCCTATTTTGTTTTTATTACATAATTAAAATTGGAAGAGAATTTTGATGCATTGACACTGCTGCTGTCAATTACACGAGGAACCTGTTCACGTTCCACAACCAAAGTCCTCCATGGGGGTAGAGTGAGTGCAGCAGGTCTAAGATGACATGAATATGTGGGGTTTTTTCATTTCCATTCCCACAATGGCAAGTTTTCGTGCACCTGCCATATGCTGTGTACATTTACCTGCCAAAACCATACTTCCAAGGAGCCAAAGCAATTACTGTTGTTAACCATTACTAAGACAAGGCATATTAATGTGACTGAGACATACGCCCTTATGCAAACAGACTGGTACTCTGCAGTACGTGACTGAAAGAGTATAAAAGTACAGTGGAATGATTTATGTTAATGTCAAATAATATTTAAATTGGCTTAATTAAATAGCTTTGATAAAATATAAAGATTAATGAGTCATAGACCTGGTGGAATAAATGAAGAGACAAAACATAAATTACACAAGATTCCTCTCTTCCTCTCTTCACTTTTGCCTTCTATAATTATAAAAGCACTGGAATAACTGTGTTCACTCATGCAAGTATTTCAGACACTAAAAGAAAATTAAATTTCTCACAAACATAATAAACATAGCAAACAATCAGTGTGCTTACTCTGGCACATCCTTTTGCTTACTGACTCATTTCATTGCATAGAAAGTCAAAATGAAATGCAATGCATGCAATGCAAAACCAGAGTGGAGCTGATAAAAGTGTTAGACAAGGAGAACCACTTGTGTGATCTGGAGGTATGCTGCACCAACTAAAAATAGTTTGGTTTTTAAACTACAAAAGCTACCCACAATGGTGCCCATTATTTTCAGACTTTTGCAATAGACCAGGTAGCCAACACAACTACAAATATATTCTTGCAAACAGTCAGTACCGTGTCAGGTTAGATATTTTCTTAAGCACTAGTTTTAGGACTTTCACTAAAACTATTATAAAAACAACCTTTAGCAATAGTTAAACATTTGAAGCCAGACATTAAAAATGAACAGAATATAATGTTCATACCTTCTGCAATTGATCAAAAATATAAGATAAGGTCCTGGGAATGATGCCTCGATCACTGTAACGTTCAGCTCCTCCTGTGATGGTAAAAGTTTTGCCACTGCCTGTCTGGCCATAGGCAAAGATAGTACCATTGTATCCAGCCAACACACTATACAGTTAAAAAAGGAAGATAATTAATATTTAAGGCAGAACATATTGTCCATGATCAACTTTGTATAGATCCAAAATAAAATTAACAGTAATTCTTAATTACATAGCAACTGTCTTTGGTAATACAAGAATACACTTCAATGTATATATTCTAGATTCTATAGAATTTAAACTAACTAGAATTGAAGGATTTCTTGATGTCTTGACTTAATCCATTAAGCTGATCATGCTTATTACTATTTACACAATCTTTTCATACTTTTCAGTTTGGCAGATGATTTTTTGCAAGGCTAATATTTAATCTCTTCAAAGACTGTCGATATCAGGAATTGTACCATTCATACACTAGAAGAATCAAGAAATAAATAATTCACATAGAAGTTCATTAAATGCAAACAGAGAAAACTAATATTGTGGTTAGAAACTCACGCAAGGATACTGTTATACCAGGGTACAGCTTTTACTCTGAGAACATGGCTATACTAAACTATCAGACTATGCTTGGATAAGGGTATGCAGGACAACCTGTGCTTAAATCAGTGTAACAAAATCTTCATTTACTATGAAAACATACAAACACACATTGGTAATAGCAAACTTCTCTGTTATCATTATGACTGTATAAGAAGCTTTGATAGAAGAGATAAAATAGCTACTAATGGCATAGCATGAAATGACATTTAGACTCATCTTTTTCACACCTCTTACTTCTGTTTACAGAAGTGCCTAATAAAAGTCCTGTTCAAATATCTTTCTTTAATTCACCACCATTGACTTCCATCTCATTGCCACCAAACAGTAGATAAACTCAATCATCTTAAATTTTGGATTGGATTTACAATGCTTAAAGACCTACCAATTTTGTTCAACAAATTGAAAAGCAAAAATTATTCTCGTGCATTTTGTTTAAAGAAAAAATGATAAATAAGCTACGATTTTAATAAATAAAAAGAGGGGACAAAACCCTTGCATAAGAGGAAAAGAAACATGTATATAGATAGCTGCTGGTCTGGCGCCACGAGAGATGCAATGATTCTCCAACTTATTAAAGTTTATTTAAAGGCCTGAGTAGTTGCCAAATTGCGTATTTTAATCCATTACAGTAGGATGTCAAAGACAAAAACAGAAACATGTTGAAAGGAGCTACAGTGAACATCTGCTCCCAAAACATGTAAACACGGAATATATATAGATATTAGATGCCAGATGTTAAAAATCAAAACAATTATTATGATAAAACACCTCATTCATCTATCTTAGGAATTTCTAGTGCCCACTGTCACAATATCTGAATGCTGATGACAGTAATGAGTTGTCTGAAGGTAGGGGGTATCAACAGAAGTTCAGACATGGCAGATTCAAACCTAGCAAGGGGAAATGATTCTTCAAGCAAATTGTAGTTAAGCTGTGTAACTCTTTGCCACGTCATGTTTTGGACATTAAAATGTCACAGAGGCTTCAACAGTGATTGGACTAAATCACCAAAAAGTTTTTCTTCAGGGCTACAAATGACAGAGAAATCAGAAAGTCCCTTAACTACAAATAACTAAAGACTAAGAGGATATATGGGGGAGGCAGCTCTACATGCTTACTCTGTTTATTGCTTTCCTCTGTGCATTGTCTGTTAGTCCCTGTGAGAGACAGCATAGTGCACTAGATGGAACCTTTGTCTGATGCAGCATAGTTGCTCTTCTGCTCATACAGAAGAGCTGTCTGGCTCTTCAGAGCTAGCAACTGGGGTTGTTAAGTTTTCTTACTCCTTCTCTTCTTTAAAGGTGCGACTTGCAACATGTTAAAACCATGTTAAATGCATGGCTGCAAGCTATTAACCTGACATGCCTGTACTTCAGAAAAAGCTGTTGATTAAAATCACCTCACATGTAAACACAGGATAAAATATCACATACCACATGCTGTCAAAACAGCTGCAAAAATCAGTGAGTTTTCTTTTTGCTCTTTGATTAATATATATTCTTACATTTTCTGCAGTGCATCAGCACACCTCTGAAAAGTTCCAGAAAACCTTGACAGCTCGAAAAATGGTAACATATCCATGTCAAGAATGCATTCTTCTAATCCATTGCAATTATAGGTTATCTTTATATAGATTATTTTGATTCCACAGTTATGTTCTTTAAATTCTGAGCTAAAAGTCAACCTTATTTTCTAAATTTATGTGTGAGTATATGTGTGTGTGTGTGTAGAATTATATATATATATATAAATAATTGCATCCTGTCCACATTCACAGCATGCATTTTTTTTCATTCAGAGTGTATTACAGCTACCACCAAGTCAATTTAGGGACAGCCTTCTTGAGGTGCTAAGGAAGTCTGTAAGGAAAGAAGGCTACCAATAATACCAGTGAAACTGCTGGCAAAGCCTTCTAAGAGTAATATTCAACTCCATGAGGAGAGGATGGAGAACAAGTTCCTTTTCTAAGTCTGAGAAGCAAAACACTTTTATAAGAGACAAGGGACTAGGAGTTCAGGCAGGACTGACAAAGCTTGTTGGCTCAGAAGCAATGACACACTGTATACTATGACCTTGCCTCCTGAAAAAGAGTAGGGAGGAAAATGCAGTGAAAATGAAAAGCCTTCACTGCATTGGCTGGTGGAGAAAGAATTAAACTTATGAACTACACAAAAGTTAATGGTTTCTGCATAAATATATATTTATGAAAGAACACATTTCAAAACAAAAGATGCATAACTACCATTCTAAGTATAATATTGTGAATATTAGTCAATGCCAATTTTGAAGGTCTGTATGTGATAACATGGGTTAAGTCATAAAAATCCATTCCTGATATGTCTTATTCATATTTAATTTAAAGAACTGTATTTGAAATCAATGGCAATACAGGATGTTTTAGCAATGAGCCTTATGGACAGCTTATCATCATAGGAAATACTTGTTGGAGATACACTTTGCTCTTTTTCACTTCTAAGTATTTCCAGGCAAAAAAAAAAATCCCAACCAAAACTCCATCAATCTAATTTTGGTTCAATGCCCCAAGGAGGTTAACACTGAAAGGCTAACTTATATGTAGATGGACCAATACTAAATCAATCAATAAATTAATACCTATTTACTAAATACTCAGGAAGTTTAAGATTTGTACATAGTATTTTCAACCCAAGATGCACAATTCCTTTAGGAAAATAAAAAGCTCACAAACTTTCATAAACCATTAGCCACTCATAAAACGCTGTTTAAGAAAACAACATCAGACTATACTGCATAATTACCCTTGGCAAAGTGATGGGTCCCTCAGATACTAGAATGCAGTATAGTGAGCAGAAAATATACACGTTGTCCTTTTCATCCTAAAATATAACTACAGCAGGTACCAAAAAAGTTGGCAACAGCCATTATGAAAAGACTAGAGAAGAGCATATTTTCCAAACAGCTACCACCAAAGGGATCCTCAAGGATTCTCATTTGCAAATTAAACTGTCCCCAACAATATTGTGAGTTATTCTTTGCTGGGAAGGGTTGGTAGAGAATCAGCAGCTCTTTTCTGCCTTTTCAGCAAAACCTACTTTGCAAGATGTCAGTTCCCACAGACAAAGCCTGCATCTTTCCTCTTCAGAGCCTCTGAACAAAAGTCCCAAATTTTTGTTAAACTCAGTATTTGAAACTACATAGGTTCACATGGATAGTTATGATAGACATGTGAGGACTTAAAACTATGTGTAAATAAAAATCATATACTAAAAGTGTATTTTCAGTCATGACCCCTTCGTGTTATGAGAATATCCAGAATTTTGCATTTTTTTTTCTCTGAAAGATGAATTTTGGCATGGTAAAGGAGATACTTCGTTGAATAAGTAGTCTCTTTACTACTTCAAACAAAACACTTCAAAGACCCATAATCCAAGGGGAGGCTTTGCAGAAAAGATCTTTCATGCACTTATACAACACTGTATAGCACCCTGTTCAGAAGTTCACGGATGACTTCCAGACAGATTAGCTGAAATACTGTCAGAGAAATCTGTCTCTAGCATATTTTACTAAAGTTATGAATGTCAGAGTCACTGGACGGTCTTGTTTTCTTATCAATACCAAACTAGACCTAAAAACACCAACTATAGAGAAAAATAACTTTAAAATACAATGAGTAAAATCTTCTCTAAATTTGTATACTTGTTTCATTCTATTACAGAATTTATAAGGATCATTTTCATTATTCACTAAAACATGCAGGTATATATTTGTAATGGACTTAGTTTCTATAAGAAGAAAAGAATAATATATATAAAAAAGTCAGTTTCTAACAAATTGTTGATTTGGCTTTGCTTGTACTGCTTATAACCACATATTTCATGTTTCTATCTAGAAAATATGGGCCACCTTAAATGTGTCAAGGAAAACCTAATTTGCCACATGCATAAGCAGTAATTCTGACTCGTTGAAGTTAATACTTGTGAACAATAAGATGCACTGAATGGGGACAAATCTCATTGGCCCGAATTTCTGCATATAAGGAAATCTCAAAGAAACCTGGACAAGACTTCAAATTCTGTTAAGGCAAGATTTCCACAAAAAACCGTGACATTTCTTTGAAAACACGGACATGCAATAGATCTGCAAAAAGTTGTATTTCCATCTCATTTAATATACTGAGCTGTCTTCATGGCTTATTAATGTGTGGAAGATCTGTTTCATGACTGCCAAGAAAGGCCCCAAAAAGTCAAAAGCTGCAAATCCAAAGAGGGCAGAACAAAACAAATGGAATATTAATATTTTATATTTAACTCATTATAGCAGAATATCAGGATTCCCAGATTTTGTAGCATAAATGATAATTACGTCAACACTTGGTAAATATATATTTTCTGTTTCAGTGAAAATACATGTGGTCAAGTCATATGAAGACTCACATACTACAAAACTGAATATCAGAAAAAAAAAAGTTTGCTTGCTATATTGGAAATGGTAACATGTAGATGTATGTAACCACATCTACATACGTTTCCTGCATGTTGAGGAGGG